AGCTGCTTATCATATTTTTCTAGGTGTTTTTGTGATTTTTTTCTGCCTGTATGTTAAAAAGACAACTCCAAACAATTATTTCTTTGCTTATAAACAAAGTTTATAAACTCTATGGACAGTACATTCATGGGCAGGTATTGTCTACACTTAGAACAGTATGGCTGCAACAAAATAAAGTATTTTAATCCCTTAAATATATATTAAAGGTATTTTTCTCAGAATTGTAATTCTTTCTGTTTCTCTAGGATTATAAATCCAGCAAAGCAGATATCAACAGCCTCTTGAAAATTGAATCAGAGAACAGTGCTGCTAAGAAGCTACAACAAGAACTAAGCAAGCTTTTAAAATAAGATAGCTAGAACTTTGTGCTTTTCTGATATGTTTTTGTTTTTTAAAAAAGATTACAGGGATGCGTTTGCAAAATCCTAGGCCTGCTGATGTTTCTCTGGTTCCTTCCCTTATAAAAAGTGTCCATTCTTCCTCCTGCAGTTCTAAAAATTCTGTGTTATCTCTTGAGATCTGCAAATTATTTAGAGAATTCTAAATAATTCTAGAGAACTGTTTTTAATTAGCACACTATTTGTCCAATGTATTCCTAGTGTGTTTGCAGAGGCAAAACTATTATAGTGGCTGATTGATGAAAGTCTTGGCATAACAAATAGGCAGTAAGACTTTCAAGATCCTGCTTTGCCTTAATTTTTGTGGACTAGCTTTGGTGGAGCATTTTGATCTTCAATGTGTTATTTGGAAATCTAAAAATGCTTTTGTTGTTTACTATAGAATGGCATGTTGTCCTTTCTTCATTCTATCTATACCTTTTAGCAGTTTACCTCTTCAATTCTTGGTAACTTAGCTTAATTTCACTCTCTGAAGTTAAATACATGTTGAAATATGTTATTCTTTTTCCAGAGATACTTTTTTTTCATTTTAACCTTGTTATAAGCTAAAGTTAATGTTATAGTGGAGGAAGGAAAATATGATCAGTTTAGAATGGCCCAATCTCAGGGCTGCTTTTGCACCTGCTTACCATTGCTTATCTACAACCTAGATTCTTGCAAGCCAAAAAAAAAGAACCCTCAGAATGATAATTCAAAAAACATCTCTGTAGAGAGGATGTTGGTATGTTGTATCTCTCACATTGGCCTTGTTTTAGATGGGTCTCTTGGGCAGCTGTAATTTGGCAACATCTAGATAACTGCATATTTTCCTTTCCTACTATAGAGAAATAGATTGCAGATGAAAAAACACTTTTTGTTAGTATTCAGCCTACTATCCTGATAACTACTTGAGTAGGAGAATTGAATATCCACTTGCTATTTGGTAAAAACGCTACCCAAGATTTACCACTGTGTCACCTTAAAAAATCCTTATATCTTCTTCAGTACCTATACATATATTGCTACTCAAATTATGCTATCTCTTCAGCTTTTCCAAGGTGGGTCTGTAGGGACCCACTTAGAACATTACTACTTCTTGTCTTAGTGAGAGAAGAGTTTTGCCTCTTACTACAGAGTAGACACTTATGCACCAAGCATTTTGAGAAGATCCGTTTTCAATGTACTGTGGAGTATCATTTGTTCCTAGAAATTTTAGCGAGAGGGAAAATTCTTTCCTTGGGCTTTGTTGCAAGGAATAAAGCTTGTTGCTTACAGTATCAAATTACCTTGTTATTTTTAACTTTCAAAATAAACAAGCTGTTATGAATATAAATTCAGAATGATCCAAATCTCTCTCTTTTTTTAGTGTTATAAATACTGGGCATCTCTTCTTTTTGAAGGAAACTTATCCTAATTTCATCCCTACATTATCATTATGTTATTTCATTCCCAAGAAGGAATGGATTTACACCAGGAATGCATGTAGCATCTATACTTGCCAAGCAATACTATCTGCTAAAAATAAATGTAAACCCACTAAAATCTCATAATCTGTGGAAGTTTCCAGCTTTGTGGGAGGTGGGATGGGATAGTTGAGCCACCTTTTCTTTGAGATACCATCATCCTAGAAAATGTTCAACCAATCTTCCTCCTCCTTTTTTTTGGAAAGGTGGAGAAATTGATTAGGCTGCAGCTTCAATAGGCCTTGAAGAAAGAAAATTATTGGTTTTAGTATAGCACTGACATAGAATTAATTATCCAGGTGTGGGAATGGTGCATCTATCCTGGCATTTCTTGACTGCCCTTGAATAGCAGGGCATTGTTTAAATAAAAATCAGTATATTAAGGCAAATGGAACATCAGAGGAAAGAGCCATAACTTGTATGGCATAAATACAGCCTACATGAATACCCAATTTCCAGACAGGCTTTAATCTTCCCTCCCTCTTTTGGAGCCAACTGGAACTGGATTACATACGTCCACAAACTAACTGCAGACATCAGCCCAAATGATAATACTAAATGTAATTCCGGTAATATGAATGATGGTGTCATACTAATCAGGGAAATACAAGTTTATATTGGGTTTGGTTTGTGGCATATAGTACGCCATAGGCTGTATGCCATAGGCTGAAAGACCCAGGGCTCTTCATGCTAAAGAGAGCATTATCTTACATATTTATAAAAGCCAAATTTCCTTTTTTGGTCATCCTCAACTGACAACTCAGACAAGATAACCTTCTAAACCAGCTCCTGGATTAGAAGACTTTGTTTACAGTCACTCATCTGGATTAACAGACCATGCTCTAAATGGGCTTCCTTGAAGGCGACTCAGAAGCTACATGTGATCCAGAATTCAGTAGTTATGGTTGCACCTTACTATACACATATAATACCATCCCTGCATAAGTTGCAGGGATTACTGGTGTATTTCTATTATTCAGAGGGTAGGTTACTGTGTACAAAGCCCCTTAATGGCACAGGGCTAGAATATTTGAAGAATTGCCTATCTCCATTTCTCTGCTCATTCAAGAATATTAGAAAGGTTTGGCATATTCCAGGTTACATCTATTTAACAGTGCCAGCATGAACTATTGTGGTTCCTATTAAATAGAACAGTCTTCTATTTAAGACTGTTCTAAGTCTTAAGAACAGTTCTTAAAAACACCCAGAAATCCAGATGGTTCCAACACTGCCAGATTTCAAAAAGGCCTTCCCACAGTCGGCAGGTCAGGATGTTCCATGAGCATCAGTCTGTTAATATAGGCAGTCCTCAGATTCAACTGTTCAAAGTTGCAACAGCATGAGTGGTACTTATGACAGGTCCTTGTAGTTCTGGCCACAATGAGTTGCAGTTCTAATGTCAAATTTTCTGTTGTTTCCTGACAGCTTCCACACGCAAAAGTCAGTAGGGAAGCCAGCAGGAAGCAGGCGGCCACAGCCATGTGAGGTCCTCACTTAAGGAGCCATGTGGTTGTCACTAAACAATGGCAAAGAGGCCTGCCAAAACTGCCATTGCTAAGCGATGATGGTTGATGATATCACACTTAGCAACAGCAATTTCAGTCCTGGTGAATTTTGATGCGACAGATCTGTGATGATACTTTTCCTCTTGGATTTTTATTATTTATATTCCTTTGTTTATTTCAATGTTGCTAGTGGCCAGAATTACTTGCAAGTGGACAATCATATAAACTGAATAAAATAAATAGAAAAATAAGCATTTGAAGAGTTTTGAATCCACCACAAAACAAAACATTTAGTTGTTGTCTACAGTAAATGTGAAGAGTAGCATCTAAAAAAGGAGACAAAGGCTGGTGAAATGAAGTTTCAGCTATTTTATCAAGTCAACAGTAGGAATAAATAAAATATTTTTACAGGCTCTCAAGCTTAAGGTTAACAAAAAAGAACCAGAATTGAAAACTAAATTTGCAAAAAAACAACATAAGAGAATCATTTTGTTCCAATTTCATCTTCCTACTGCATCATTATCATATATTACCAGGATTACATACGGGAAAAGTTACTATAAATAGCTATTCAGTGCAAAAAAGAAAACAATTCAAATCAGGCTAGATTTTTGCAAGAACAACTAGTTTAAAGAGATATTCACAAAATCTCTGGTAACATGATGGTTTTGTCCTCTTCAGTGGAGATTGTCTGTTTTCATTTTTTCCTGCAACGACACATTTTAGTTTTAATTGGAGAAGCCAAGGCTAATTTCCTTTTTTTAACAAAATGCTGCCAGTTTTAACAGGTTTTCAAGAGCTTTTTTTTTAGCTTCACACCCTCAGCAACAACTTCTTTTTAAATCAATTTTTTTCCATTTCAATGTGAAAGTGAGCATTTGCATCCAATACCTCAATTGTAAATTAGGTGTTCCCTCCCAGACAGGCCTTCCTGCAGCCTTTGTGCACTTAAAATCTATTATACCATCAACATTCATTTCCTGCTAAAGCTGTGTTTCTCAGTCATTTCAACTTTAAAACGTGTGGATATCGGGTCCTAGAAATTATGGGAGTTGAAATCCAGACATTTTAAAATTGTAGAGAGTGAGCAAACACTGCTAAGGCGTTCTATGCAATGGAAAGTAATGCTTTTACGTGCGTGACCCGTCAAAACCGCGGTCCGCTAAAGCGCGCCCGATTAAAGGGCGTACCTGACGTCATCAGCAGCGCGACAAATAAAATTAAAAATAAAATAAAATAAAATAAAATTAAAGCAAGCCGATTCACATAAAGGTTAGGGTTAGGTTAAGGGTTAGGGTTAGGGTTAGGGTTATGTTTAGGGTTAGGGTTAGGTTAAGGTTAGCGTTAGGTTTAGCGTTAGGTTAAGGGTTAGGTTTAGGGTTAGGTTAAGGGTTAGGGTTAGGGTTAGGTTTGGGGGGGTTAGGTTTAGATTTACGCGTTAATTTTAAGTTTACCGCTCACAGCGTGCTGTTTTCGTCGCGCTGTGATGACGTCACGTACGCGCTTTCGTCGAGCGCGCTTTATTCTACCGCGGTTTTGTGGTGGAACCATTACGCGGGGAAAGGGAAGGCAGCCGAAACAGAATATTGGCTTTGTAAAATAACAGACACTGGAAATGGAGAGCTAGGCTCAGCTGGTAATGCTTACTCGGCGCACCTTCGTCAGGGGTGAAATGCCATTGAACTGCTCTTGTGGGTTGCTTCAGAGATCTGATGGGCTTGAAGCACAGCTACTGCTTCCTCGATCTAACAAAGGCAAAGTAGTCAAAGACAAGATTGGAGTTTAGAACAGCTGGTTGCAGAGTTTGAAATATCACTGTTTCTGCAGCCAAAGAATCCAACACACAGTCAGGACAAAAAAAAAAGCTTTAAAAGGAAGCTCCACTTGAATTTGGCTGGTACAATAGTGCATGCTTCTCCAGAGCCCTGCTGATGCTTTGAGATCAGCAGTCCCAGAATCCATTGGCTCCAATTTCAATTGTCTTGAGAAAGACCCCAAGTTGGAGAAGACTATAATAACATACTGAGACAACTATTTCACTACTTTTGTGAAATGGTCCCTGTTTAATAGATCTGGGAAGTTGTATTTATAGTCCAGTTCATCTGTTTACTTGTGGGCTCTTGCTCTCTCTACTTGGCACTGAACCCAGCTACACAAGCTTTCAGATGAACCATCTTGCTATAAAATATTTGAAAAGGGGCTAATAATTAAGAACAATGCCACCCAAATTATTAATTATTATTTCCCATTCAAATTCAATGTTTTTTTAATCCACACTTGAGCTTTTGAGATGATGAAACTTTTTCATGCTAATGCAGATGCAGGAGAGGAAGAAAACAGATGGGACTTGGTACAGAGATAAAGCAGCCCAAGTACTTTTATTAACTAAACAGTTAATAAACAATAATAGACACTGATATGTTAAGACTAGACCATGAATTAAACTACTCTACAGGTAAGTCCTCAATTTACAGTCATTTGTTTAGTGAGCGTTTGAAATTGTAAAGGCACTGAAAAAAGCAACATGACTAGTCTTCACACTTAAAATCACTGCACCATCTCTCTGATCGAGTGACCAAAATGTGGGTACTTAGCAACTGGAATGTATTAAATGACAATTGCACTGTCCTGGCATTATGGGGTCATCTTTTGTAACCTTCCCAATTGGCTTCTGACAAGTAAAGTCAATGGGGAAGCCAGATTCACTTAACAACCCTGTGACTCACTTAAAAACTGCAGTGATTCACAACTGTGGCAAAAAAATGGTCATAACATGGGACACAGCTCACTTAAACCCCCCTTGCTTAGCAATGGAGATTTTGGGCTCAATTGTGATTGTACGTCGAGGATTACCTGTGCTCAATCTGTCCTTCTAGGATCAAACCTGCTCCAATACAGGTACATGAATATTCAGTAGATATATAACAGGCTATAAAAACAAACACCTTGAAGAATACATCCTTACAAGTTTAAATGTTATTTTAAATGCAATCCTTCCCAACCTTTTGTATCACTCCCACTATATCTGCTCAAGATTTCCTGTCTTATCATAGTTTCTTCACACCACCTTTTAAAACAAAACTTGCATTTTCACAATCTATCATGCTTTCTTCTGACCACAGTTCTGATCATTCTTAGAACTTATCATATTCATGGTAGCACTCCCATACCATGCTAAAATAGATCAGGCCAGTAATGAATACATTACTGCTATATGCAACCGCTAGATTTCCAAGTCAGAAATTTAGTACTTAGCTGGAGATCAACCACCAGTGAGTTCTATTTTGATAATGTCATCCTTTCTAGAGGCATCTGGTTGGCCATTACAGGAGGCAGAACAGTGGACTAGCTGAACATTTGCTATCACTCTTCCAGTATCCCTATGCTCATAAGGTTGAAACAGGAGAGAACGTGTGTAGGAGTGGATACTCCACAGTTAATGTCTCTAGCCTGTTGTTCTTCCCTCATGCTATCTTTATAATGGATCACCATTGAAAAGTTAAACCAGATCTGTATTGGTGGATCCATACAACAGTTAAGCAATTAAAGATAAAGGTTCCCCTTGCACATAGGTTCTCATCTTTCCTGACTCAAGGGGGCGGTGCTCATCTCCGTTTCTAAGCTGAAGAGCCAGCGCTGTCTAAATACGACTCCATAGTCACGTGGCCGGCATGACTAAACGCCGAAGGCGCATGGAACACTCTTACTTTCCCACCTAAAATGGTTCCTATTTTTCTACTTGCATTTTTACATGCTTTCGAACTGCTAGGTTGGCAGAAGCTGGGACAAGTAACGGGAGCTAAGTCCGTTACGCAGTGCTAGGGATTCAAGCTGCCAAACTGCAGCTTTCTTTCTGATCGACAAGCTCAAGTTCTTAACCACTGAGCGACTGAGTCCCAAGGGACAATTACATAACCCCAATTTTGAACAGTACCAAAGGAACAATCAGGAGGTGTAAAAGAACAAAGCAGGTGGAAAATCAGTCTGCTTAGGAAAAACTGAATTGAAAAACAGCCATGGAGATGCTACTCAGACAATTTAACCATGCAGACCAACCTAACACAAAGTAGGATAGTTCATTTCAACTGAAAAATTTGAAATGGCAGAATTAGGGCATTTTTAAACATGGAATCCTAGTACCTTAGACTGAAGGGATTCTGGTGACTCCAGCATAAGTAGCAGATCAGAATTATCAATCTCCAACAGCATGCCTGTAATCTTCCCAGCCAGGGTAGGGTGCTTTGCATGAATTAGAGGATAGAGACGTTCACCTATGCACAGCCAAAAAAAAAGGATAAAAAAAGGAAGTACTGGGAAACCTGAATTTTTCTTGTGTTTTATGACGTTCCCCCGGTCACTTCTATTTCAGCACCTAACCTTCATCCAGCCCACCAACACAAGACTATGAGGTCTGAGAAGTTTCCTACAATCTTTGAAATAGCTAATGTATAGTGATCATTGTCAGGTACTATGGAAAATTTTAAATGGCAACTTCTTAGCCAACCCTTTCATGAGAGACCCAAAGATAATCTCTCCATGTTAGGGAATCCATATCTGAAAATTAGGTTCATTAACATGGGAAGCAGAATCTCCGATGGACCACCATTGCTTCAGACCGAGACCTGTCAATGTTCTGCCTTTAAGCTGTTGGGTAAAACTGAGCTGGCAGATTTCATCCTCCGCTGAACCCAGGTGCTCTCCATAGCCACCACAGTTAGAAGATGATACATAGATAATGCAGAAAACCCAACTGACAGTCTGGTGTAGTGGCTAAAGTACTGGACAACAAAACGGGAGGCTGTGAATTCCAGTCCTTCTTTAGGCCTGAAAGTTGAACTGGATGGTTGTCTTTGGGTCTCTCATTTTCTCTCAGTCCAACACACTTTACAGGGTTGTTGTTGTGGGGGAAAATAGAAGGCGAGAGCATCATGTATACTGACTTAAGCTGAACAAATAAAAAGGCAGGATATAAATCTAATGCTATTTTTAAAAATCTTTGAAGACTACACCGAGTAGGTATTTTTCTCATATCATACTTCTTTAAGTAATACTTATTTGTTACTTTTCTGGCTCTCTACATCTGCATCAAGGCCTAATGCTGCTCATTAGATATTTTAGACCAGGGGTGTCAAACTGGCAGCCCGTGACATTTTTATAAATATCCATAATAATATTTGGATAGAGATTTCATTTTTTACAGTGCTTTGTGTGCATTAGCAATAGGTATATTGATTTGCAAACTGCTAGGCTGTTATTATTCCCTTAGCCCACATATTCTAGATCAGGGCTATCAAACTCCTGGTTTGTGGACCAGATGAGTCACATGCTGGCCACGCCCACACCTGGTTTAGCGAAGGGGGGAAAAGTCTTGATACGTCATGTGATGTCATTGTGACGCCGTGAGTTTGACACCTCTGTTCTAGACTGTTTGGGAGAGGAGCGTCATAGGTCACATACATCACATTTTTGGAAGACAAGTGATTCTAACAAGACTCTAACCAAGGACCTCTTGATTTATCATGTGGTTTCTTACATTCTATGACTCACCAGCCAACCACTTGTTTTTACTGTCCTATTATCACATCTTAGTGGTCTCCAACCTTGGCAACTTTTAAGACCTGTGGACTTCAACTCTCAGAGAACTCTGGGAGTTGAAGTCTACAAGTCTTAAAGTTGCCAAGGTTGGAGACCACTGGGATCTCAAAAAACTAGATAGACTTCATCCTGATTAAAGTCAAATAGGTAGGCTCTAAGAAGTGTTTAGGCTATAGGCTACATTGAGTAGATGACAAAAGCACCTCAGAAGACGACTTCTGCACTGTTACCAAAAAAACCTCTACATAGACCGCCTATAAAGGCATTAATTTCAGTAAGCTTTATCATTTCTTTACCAGGTGATTTAAACTGGAAAATTCAAGATTTGACCAAGGTAATACTTCTCCCCCTTTTCTCTCCAGTACTCGCTGTAACAATTTCATCCCTTTTGCTTGCTTTATTCTAAATGCTATAAAGTGCACATGGGTGGCATTGAACTAAGACATGAAGCTAGATTTTTTCCCTGAGAGTGTTTCTTGCATCTGTATTTTCCAGAAGCACTGGGGTAGAGGAGCAAAGCAACAAAGACTGACTCTAGAACTCAGTGTGGTAGCCAGAAACATATAATTCAGAGTGAGACTCAAAAACTAAGCCTGTGAAGATAACTGGATAATAACCCTCTTCTCTTGCAATAGAAAAGAAGTTGCATCTTATCAGCTAAAAGATGCATCTCTTCCAGTCTTTTTACTATAATTTGATTTATTATGGTTTATGTCTCACATACAGAGTTGTAGAGTATTCATCTAAGAAACTAACCTTCTAAAATATTACATTTGCTATTAGTCCATTAGCATATGGCTTTTCAACAGCTTCCCCGAGATTTGGAAGCTACCCACTGTATTGGGCTTTAGGAGAACTGTAAAGACCTGGCTCTTCACCCAGTCATTTGGGCTAGGATAGAAATGGGCTCAGCAAATGCAAGAGCATGGAAAGTGATGTGACGTTGCAGAACTATGTATATGAAGTTAAATATTTCATTTATTCTGTTTTTATTTAATGTTGTGAGTTGCCTAGAATTGCCTTGTATCAAACAGGTGGCCCTGTGAATTTCTAAACAAATAAATAAAAGCTTTAGATAATTTGTAGGAAACATTATGATAGATTTTAGAACTAGTATAATACAGGGAGTCATTGCTTAACAATCATTCTTGTAGTGACCATGATGGCATTGAATGAGTTTTAGGATTGGATCCCATAGTTGCAGCCATTGCAGAATCTCTGCAGTCAGAATTAGAATAGAGCTGGAAGGGATATTGGAGGTCTTCTAGTCCAGCTAATTCAAGCAGGAGACCCTATACCATTTCAGACAAGTGACTGTCCAATCACTTCTTTAAAATCTCTAGTGATGAAGCACTCTAGTGATGAAGTATCTCTAGTGATGAAGCATAAAATATCTGAAGACAAGCTGTTCCACTGGTTAATTGTCCTCACTCTTAGTAAGTTTCTCCTTAATTCCAGGTTTCTCCTCTCCTTTGTTAGTTTCCATCTATTTTTTCTTGTTCTGCCCTCTGGTGCTTTGGAAAATAAATTGACCCCCTCCTCTTTGTGGCAGCCTCTCAACTACTGGAATACTTTATATAGACTGCCCATGTCGCCCCTGGTCCTTCTTTTCTCTAGACTAGCCAAATCCAAATCCTACAACTGTTCTTCATGTTTTAGTTTGCAGGCCTTTAATCGTCTTAGTAGCTCTTCTTTGCACTTTTCCCAAAGTTTCAACTATCTTTTTTGTAATGTAACAAAAACTGGATGCAGTATTCCAGGTGTGGCTTTACTAAGGCTTTATAAAGCGGTACTAATACTTCATGTGGTTTTGATTCTATGCCTCTGTTTATACAACCAAGGATTGAACTAGCTTTTTTGGCGGGGGCTGCACACTGAGTGCCACAGTCAGGTGATTGCAATTCAAGCACTTGCAACTGGCATCCAATTACAATGGTTGTAGTGTTTCACGGTCATATGGTCCCTATTGGCAACCTTCACAACTGACTTCTGACAAGGATCGTCCATGGGAAAAGATAGCAGAAAGTCACAAATGGCGATCACAAGACATTGCCTGTAACAACCAGGAAGGATTTTGTTAATTTCAGCAACCCGAACTGCCAGGACTGCAGCCCTACGTTGGTGCAGTCACATGACATTGCATTTTACAACCACGTTGCTTAGCAATGGAGTTTTCAGTCCCAGTTACTGTCGTTACAAGCAGTACTTGTATATCCATTGACAAGAAACAATGGATGGAAACTAATCTTGGAGAGAAGCAACCTGGAATTAAGGAGAACCTTCCTAAGAGTGAGAGCAATGAACCAGTGGAACAGCTTGTCTTCAGAAGTTGGGGGTGCTTCATCACTGGAGGTTTTTAATAAGAGATGTGACAGCAGTTTACCTGAAATGGTGGAGGGTCTCTTGCTTGGGCAGAGGGTTGGACTAGAAAATCTCCAGCTCTATTCTGATTGGTTGAAGTACATCCTTTTTTTTAGGAAACATTGTTTTCTAAGCTGAAGCATAAAATATTTGATTGCAACTTTTTCTATGAGAAAGTCCTGGCTGAGGGGGAAGTTCACAGTGCTGCCTACTAGAAGATGCATACCACTCACCCAGTATTTGTTTCTGTTCTTGAGGAGGGGCTGCAGCCAACATGGTTGTGGTCAAAGGCTCCTGTCCATGGATATGAATGATTGGTTCTACAGCCTAAAGCCCAAGAAACAAAATACACTGAGAATAG